ATTATTTGTAATATAAAACTATTATATATTATTATTATATGTGTTTCATTTATTGCTCTTCTTATATGTAAATAACTGTATGATTCGAGATCTCTATGGGTTCCTATGGGAAACCCTAAGGGAATGCATTGGTGATTGTAAGAGGAGATTGTTTGAAGAGGCAATTATATGAGTAAATTGTATTATTTTAAACGTTTATTGAATGAATTAGAATGCTCTGTGATTCTTGAGAGAACTCTATGAGAAACAGGCAAAATATGAATATTTTTTGTTTTACTTTCTGATTGCTCTGTTGTATTCCTTATTGGATGAGATGTATGAATATGTGTTTAATTTCATAAATAGACAAGTTTTGATATGAATTAAAGTGCTCTGTGGAGACTATGTGAATATGATGAGATAATGTGAAAAGTGAATATGAGACATGAGATATGATGTTATATGATAGTGAGACATGATGATGTGATATGATAATATGACATGACAATGTTATATGATAATGAGACATGATGATGTGATATGATAATGAGACATGATAATGTTATATGATAATGAGACATGATAATGTGATATGAGAATGCATAGAGTCTTGATATTTACATGCATCATTTGCATAAATGTTTTAAGGGTACGATATGGAATACACTGCCAGGGAAGGCCCCCTTGTGTAAAAGCTTGGGGATTAGTCCTTGGGGATAGCTCGGTTTGGAAGTCCCAGTCTCGCCCATTGTGTGCATGGGATGTATCTTGTGCAGCTTAGCTATACTGACTAGACCATGGTAGTATGTCCTTCTAGTGAGAGTGCGCAGAGGGTGTGACCCGGCGTGTACTCCTAAACTACTCTCGTGTATTGCTAGCGGTAATATGCCATGTGATATGTGTTACTAGTGCCACATGCATGATAATATGTAGTTTGTGTCCATTACATATGCATTTTAATGTTATATGTTAAAGTGATTTTTTTTGATGAGTGGAATGTGATATTGTTGTTAATCTATCTATGCTATGTACATATACATGTCTTGTTTGTGTTTGGTTATTCGGTGTGTATTCCTACACCGTGAGCCAGAGTGAGATGTTCCTCACTTCCTTTTCTTTTGTGTTGTTTTCCTTGATTGTTATATAGGTAATTATCATCATGAGACTAAGGATGTCAGTGACGAAGCTTAGGCTTCAATGTTGGACTTTTCTCTGATAGGACATGTGACATTGGGGCATAGATAGGATTAGATTAGGATATTGTTCTTATTATTTTGAAAACCTTAGCATTATATCTTTGTAATTTCTGTTGATTAAGTTATTTGTTTAAGTCATGGATGTGGTACTCTCTATCTAAACACGTTTGATATTTTAAGTATGAAAGATTGTGTTATTCAAATTTTATTATTTGTGTTATGGTATGCGGGGTAGAGGGTGTCACAAAAAATTCTATTCAACCAGGGTCGGCATAACATATTTTGGAGCCTAAAACGAATTTTGAAGTTAGACCTTTTCAAAATCAATAACAATAAGAAAATCATTAGTCATCCAAAAAAAAGGAACTTTCAACAAAAAATTACAATACTATGATCAAACCGCAATCTTTACAATGCTAGACTTAGACAACGACCAACAAATCAAAGTTAATATTAATACAATTGATTTATTAAATTCTATAAGTAAAAACAATATTTTGGGGGTCTAAAGTTAAGACTTGGATTGCCTTATGCATGGGCGGGTCCTGAATTCAACATTATATTTTTAAGGAAAAAAATGTGTAACTTATTTTGTATCTTAATATAAAAGAAATAATAATATAATACTCACATTAATTTCTCATAAAAGTGTAGAATAATTTATTTTAAATAAATTAAGTGAAAGTGCAATATATTTTAATATAAGAGACGAATAATATAACACTTACAATTGTTTTTCGCAGGTAAGCGTGTAATTTGTTTAAAATATCGAATTCGTGTGAAGTGTTAATGAAGTAAAATTTTAGACTTCAAATGCAAACTTAGATGCGCAAGCAACAAATAATAATATATACAAACGTATTGTTTTTCTTTATTTTTCCGGCCATTATTTCTCATTAAAAAAAAATGCCATATAGAATCTAGGCTGGTCGTGAAAAGGAAAATTCTCGAGGAAAAGAAGATCCTCATTCTTGTTGAAAAGTATCACTCCAAGAAAAAGCAAGAGGAAAGTGTTGGATCACCTACATACAAAGTATAACCTATACCATGCATGGATCACAATATCTTGGCTAGTTTGTTCACGCTAAGAGGAATATTTTCAAGGATCTTTTTTATAACAATGCTATTAAAACCCATTTTACAATGATATTTTGTAGCTAAGTTTCACGAAAAGAATATGCTTCTTCTTGCAAAATGCACAAGCTTTTACTATTATCTAATTAATAGCCATATTGGATAACAAAGTGACATAATATTCAACCTTCTAAAAAAAAGCCATGTCGAGTTCTCGTGGGCAATTCAAGCCAAAGAAAAATCTACCCATTGAAACCACATTTAAGCTTCCTGCGGATATCCCTGTTTGGCCACCAGGTACACATTATTCAGTAATACATCTCTTCATTTCTGTTTTTGATCAATCATCTCCTCATTCTTTTATAGATAGGCAATACATATATATATATATATA